TCGACGGAGCAGTATGGGAGAGGTCCGGCTTCTTCCGAGGCGTTGTCGACGTTCTGTTCATCCCAGTCTGCTTCGTCCGCTGCTGAAGCGAAGGCTCGGTCACCACGAAAACCACTGGTGAGGTCCCGATTCTCGTGCAAGTTGGCGAGGTACGTCTGAAGGGTGAGTCTTTCGTAGAAGATCACGTCACGTGCTGCTACTGTTTCCTTTGTGTGGACGTCGAAGATTCTCCATGCGTTGTAATTTTTCTCGATGCCGAGGTGTAGTCCCCACTGTGCCCGTTGCGAAAATCTTCCCGCTCGTGCTTCTGGGGGTCTGTACTGTACCATGCACCCAAAAACGCGTAACATTTTCGTGCTGCCCTGCTTCCCTGTCCACAGCAGATGCGGTGATGCGTTGTTCGGGAGTGACGACGACGACAACAAGTTGTGCAGCATGACAGCGTGGTCCATTGCTGCTGGCCACTGGTGGTTGGGTAGCCGCATGCCACGTAACAGTTTGCGCATGCTGTTCTGCAGGGTCCTGTTCAGTCGTTCTGCAACACCTTGCTGCTGATGTGCGTAGGGAAGGGAGAGGAGTTGCTTGATCCCCCTTTCCGCCAAGAACTGCTTGAAGCGCTGAGAGGTGTACTCGCCACCTCCGTCTGACTGGGAATTTTTCAGTTGTGTTCCAGACTCTCTCTCTGCTATCGGTAGCCAGGCGGCGAATGCTGCGAGCGCCATGTCGCGGCTGGGTAGGTTGCGATGCCAGACGTATCGAGTGGCGGCGTCGATGAAGGTGATGGTGTAGTTGTAGTTGACTTGTCCTGGTTCGCGATTGTAGAGGATGTCGCTGTAGACTTTTTCGAGTGGTGCGTACGCTGGAGCGCTCGGGTTGTGATGTGAAGCAAACGGTCGATGAGGTAAGTCAGCTTCGGGTCATATAAGGCAAGTCCCTCGTGCCTTCTGGAGTTCTCTGCCATCGGGTAGAAGTAGAGAGTCTTTGTCGAGGACTCCTGCTCTTATCGTGTTATTCAAAACCGTGTTGCTTGGATGTCCTGTGCGTGCGTGCCAGATCTCTTCAGAGGCGCGGTGTCCGGGTGAACGCTGATATGCGTCGGAGTTGGAGTAAAAGCTGGCGACGAGGTTGGCGCTTCGGTGGACTTCACGTTGAGTCGGATTCAGCTGTTGCGCGGGTGTTGGTGGTGCTTCGACGACTGTGACTGGTGTCGTTGTTCCTGCTGCTGCTGATGTTGTTGCTGCTGCCGATGTTGTCGTCTCTGCTGATGTTGTCGCTGCTGCCGATGTTGTCGTCTCTGCTTCTTGTTGAATCGTTGCTAACGCTCTTGTTCGCTCTGCTTCAGGGATAGTGTGGGAGTACCAGAAACCTCCCGGGCTGAAGTCGGGGTCGAGATCCGGAGGGTGTGTCCAATCAGCAAAGTTTACAATGGCGTCGCTGTCTGCAGTGCCGAGGTCGGGAGCGAAGTCGAGGACGAAGACGTTCTTCTTCAGCACTGCTTTCCCGATGTAGAGACCGCCTCTCCCGTGGTAAAGCTTGAACTCCTGGGTCGTGCTGTCGGCTTCCAGATGAATTCCTTTCGCCATCAACTGGCTAACGCTCAGTAAGTTGTAGCCGAGTCCTTCAGCGATGAGTACCTTAGACATGTGCAGTATGACATTTGTTTCTCTTGACTGAAGCTGTACCACTCCTTGTCTTCGTGTGCGCAGGTTTTGGTTGTTGGCAACCGTGATCATCACTTCCCGTTGGAGTCGATGTTCGCGTTGTACGAAACGCCCGGACGAGCACATGTGTTGCCCGCAGCAACTGTCCAAGAACCAGGTGTCTTGGCCGGACGGTTCACTTTGAGCGATAGCGGCGTAAGTCGGATTTGGATGGAGTGATTCGCGACGAGGCGTCCTGTTGTCGAGCTCCTCTTCCGGTGAGTAATGGGGTGGTGACTCTGTTATGCAAGAGTCGGTTATCTTGACCATGCAGTTGACTATATGTCTTGCTCCTTGTGCAGGTTGTCCAGTTGAGGTCGTTGAAGCTTGAATCGTGGTTGTCGAGCTTGCTTGTGTCGAAGCAACTTGGGTGCTTGAAGGCCGCAGTTGTCGCTGTGGTGTTGTCTGTCGAGACGGGCAGTGCGTGCGTGGGTGTCCTGATGTCTTGCAGATGTGACAAAATGGAGGTACTAGCTTCGGCTGCTGCTGTCGATTGTTGTAGTTGTTGTGTCGTCGCTGAGTATGGAAAGCAAACTCCGGTGCTAATGTCCTTTTCTTGTGTCTTTCTTCTTGCAGGTCCATATCCTGCTGCTCGGCGTGAATTTCTGCGCAAAGTGCCGCTTCGGAGATCCTCCCGTGTGCTCGAAGAATTGCTTTGGTGGCGCGCCACTGAGGACCGAGGCCACCGATGACGACTGTTACGAAGGCGTCTTCAGAGATTGACCCTCCACATCGAAGAAGCTTGTCGCGCAATTCGCGACATCGGCTGATATACGCCAACCCTTTTTCTCCTGGTTTCATTTCAACTGTTGTCAGCTGCGCCATTAACCTGCTCTGGTTTACACTGTCTGTTGCCTGGTACAGGTTCTTCAAATGGCCGTACGCGAGTTCCGCCGAGTTGCCGAAGTTCCGGTAAGAGCGAATGTTCTGCTGCTGGGTTGGTGTGATGTTTCTCAGTAGAATAGTATACGCCATCATGGATTGATACGTATACTGCTGCTTTTCATACTGTGTCCCGTTTGCTGGATACTGCAGGGATCCGTCGAAGAAGCCGTGTATCTGCGCGCCCTTCATCATCAACTCGAATTCAAAGGACCAGGTAAAGAAGTCCTTTCCGTCGAAAGGTCTTGACGTCTGTAGTTTCAGAACATGCGCGAACTGCGACTGTACTTGTAAGGCATCCATTGGTTTGTCTTGCGCAGGTGGAGGTTGAGGCAGGAAGCTGATCGACCCGCGTTCGTACGGGGCGAAGGTGGGTTGCTGCTGTTGATTCCCTCGCGCGTATGACGACCCGTCAAGGCTCATGGGTGTCGCTCCGTTGTTGCTGTTGTGTGTCTGTGCAGGTCCCGACTGCTGGTGTTGCTCGTAGAAGGACATGAAGGAGAAAAATTTCTCCATCATGCTCGGGTCGAAGTCAGAAGGATGGTTCGTGGGAGTCTCGGTTGACGTTCCCCTTGGTCTTGCTGCCGTGCCTTCCTCTGTCTGCAGGCCAGAGGCTGGCGGTGGAGTAGGAGTAGTGCCCGAGGAGCCATTAGGAGAGCTCCTTTCCTCGTTTGTTGCCATGTCTTGAAATGATTTTGAAAAGAGTTAGAGTTTTCCCCTGTCCGCTCTCATACCATGTTGGGCTGAAAAATAGCCCTCAGGATCTTTGCAGAGGAGAACTCTTGGGTAGAAACTTGTAATAGCGGAAGCGTTTAATGAGGATTGTGAACCGACCTTGCACTGGTGTGTGAGAGCAAAAGTAGATTAAATTAAACAAGCAAATACAAGGATTTATATAAGAGTACAGGGAATACGAATAGATAGATAGATAACTGTATTGCTGTTGCGGTTCGATATAGTGCGACTCGGGTAACTGCTCTGTAACGAGTCAGTTGTGTGTCCTTAACTGTCGCGCTGTAATTGTCGAGTCAAAGGTCAGCGACCTTTGACTTTCTCGTAACCTCCAGGCGGCTACCCTAACCTCCGAGGTTGACTCGATGCTTCGATTGGGACTGCTTCGCTTGGTGCCTTGGATTTTGATACGACAGAAGCGCACTTAGGACTTATTGTTTCCAACAGCTGCATCATTAATTGCAGGCTCCTCAGTGGGCAATACCCCAGCACTGTTACAGTAAACACCGTTTTATACACAACTTCTACAGACCCTCATCAACGGGTGCACCCTCACCCACATCACTAGCAACTGCTAACGCATCAGCCAGCAGATCGGACGTATCTGCATCATCCATTGCAGGCTCATCACTCGGCAATACTCCAGCACTGTTACCACCAGCATCTGCACCATTCATATCTGCAGCTGCAGGAGCACTGTCAGCGCCATCAGCACCAGCAGCAGCAGAGTCAGCTGCACCAGTATCAGCAGCACCAGCAGCACCAGCAGCACTAGCACTAGCACCAGCACGAGCGGCAGCAGTAGGAGGGCCGAGGCTGGCACTGCTTCCGAGGTTGGCCCGTGCTCGAAGCTCATCAAATGCACGCATGCTTTCTGCGTCAAACCCTCCTGCGAACTGCACACAGCAGTACACAATGGGAAAGGGAGACAGGCGACAGCAGCGGGGAGAAATAACATGGGTTGTGAGACGCCTCAACACTAGAAACCACGTGTAGAAAGAATATTTTTGAGATGTCTCAAAAATGTTCTTTCCACACGCAGTAGCGGGGAGAAATAACATGGGTTGTGAGACGCCTCAACACTAGAAACCACGTGTAGAAAGAACATTTTTGAGATGTCTCAAAAATGTTCTTTCCACACGCAGCAGCGGGGAGAGATAACATGGGTTGTGAGACGCCTCAACACTAGAAACCACGTGTAGAAAGAATATTTTTGAGATGTCTCAAAAATGTTCTTTCCACACGCAGCAGCAGGGAGAAATAACATGGGTTGTGAGACGCCTCAACACTAGAAACCGGCTCGTGCCCGAAGCTCATCACATGTTTGCATACAGTCTGCGTCAAGCCCTCCTGCAAACTGCATACAAATGGCAATGGCTTGCGCCTGCAACAGTGGGGTCAAATTTTGAGACACCTCGAAACGCAAACGGTAATGGCAGGCGCCAGCAGCAGCGGGGCCAAGAAAAAGAAGGTGAAATGGAAACTACAGGGAGTGTTTTACGATGAACTGTGTGTTTTGAGTCGACTCAAAACACACTTTTGAGTCGACTCAAAACACGGCAGCAGCAGCGGGGCCAAGAAAAGAAGGTGAAATGGAAACTACAGGGAGTGTTTTACGATGAACTGAATAAACGATCATGTCATTGAAAAGTGGGGACAAAGAGTAGGAGAACTGGAGATAGTTGCTCAGTGGAAGGGCAGGGAGTGTGAGTGGGCATGTGTGAGTGAGACGGGGATGAGATAGGGAGTGGATGGGGAGTGGATGGGGAGTGGATTAGGAGTGGATGGGGAGTGGATGGGGAGTGGATGGGTACGGGATGGGGATTGGGATGGGATATGGATGTGATGGGGATGGGATAGAGATGGGATGAGTGGATGGTGAGTGGAATGCGAATGACGTGTGTTCAGAGAGAATAGAGCAACAAGCGGGTTGAGGCTGGCGAATCTTACCTGGTGAGTGCAGAAGGCGAATCGCACGGCCTGCAGCAGCAGCAACTTTCGAAGGGGCTGATGATAACACAGGGAAACAGGGGACAGCTGAGAGAACGCACCTGGTGTGTGAGAGCTCAGAGAACGCACCTGGTGTGTGCGGAAAGCGAATCGCACGGCCTGCAGCAGCAGGAACTCTCTGATGGGCTCGCTCTCCGGCTCGCTGCCTAGCTTGTCCAGCTCCGATGTGACCCGCGTTATGTAGCAGCGCGCCAGCCGCACTGATGCCAGGCGGATCTGAGGGGAGGGGAGGGGAGGGGAAAGGAGGCGAGGAGGGGAGGAAAGGAGAGGAGGGGGGAGGGGAGGAGAGGGGAGGGGAGGGGAGGGGAAGGGAGGGGAGGGGAGGGAAGTATAGTGAGCGAGATAGACGGTTAACATATGGGCTCGCTCTCGGGTTCATTCTCGGGCAGACAGGATCGCTCTCCGGCTCGCCCTCTAGCTTGTCCAGCTCCAATGTGACCCAAGTTATGTAGCACCGTGCCAGATGCACTGATGCCAAAACTCCCCCGATCACCACCTACCCTCACCGATTGCCCTCACCTTGTCTACAAGGCCATTGCCCACAAGGCCATCACAATCGCTTCTATCGATTTCCATCACCTTCCCTGCCCCCTGCGCTCCACCTTGCCCACACCGCCGTTATCCAGTATCCAGTATGTGGGCACTCCAAACTCAGCATAGCGTGATACGGCCACGTGAACTCTCTCACCCATCTGCCAGTCCTTGACACTATCAGTATCACCCCGCCCACCGCTTCCCCCAACCATCACCTCCCCTCACCTTGCCCACAAGGCCATTATCGAGGATCCAGTAGGTGGGCACCCCAAACTCAGCATAGCGTGAGATGGCCATGTCTCTCGTGCGCAGCAGCGCGTATATGCTCTGCTCCACCCTGCATACACACACACACACACACACACACACACACACACACACACACACACACACACACACACACACACACACACACACACACAGAGCAAGAGACAAGGAGATGCAACAAGGAGTGCATTGCTCAAATGAGCACACAGCACAATGTGAGATGACCATGTCTCTCGTGCGCAGCAGCGCGTGTATGCTCTGCTCCACCCTGCATATCCAGCAAACGCCATGTCACACAGCACAAAGAGAGACATTGCGTACTATGGGGAGAGACACAATATGCTGTTCCTGTGACCCTCGTGCGCAGGTGACTTTTGAGCCGACTCAAAAGTCACCATATTGCGAACTATGGGGAGAGACGCAACATGCTCTCTTTGTGCAATCGTCTTTTGAGTCGACCCAAAACACAGCACAAAGAGAGACATTGCGTACTATGGGGAGAGGCACAATATGCTCTCTCGTGACCCTCGTGCGCAGCAGTGTGTCAATGCTAGCTCCACCCAGCACTAAAGCAGCGCTCACTTCTATTCCCTACCCACGCCACACCCCCTTCCTCAAACCTCCCCCCCTACTCAGCCCTCTTTCTCCCCCCCTCCCCCTCACCCTTCCAACCTTCCCACACCACCACCACCCCCACTCACTTCTCCAGCACATGGAACATATTCTTGAGAGCCTGGTCGGTGGGCACGTCAGGGTCATCCACCCACATAGCTGCCGAAATATCGCTCCAGCCGCACTACTTGGTCGTGGAACTCAAACGCCGCCTCACCACGGACTCATTCCCCTCTCTCCCCCCTCTCCCTCTCCCCCTTCCCTCTCCTCTACCCACAACCCCAATCACTTCCGCCCCATCCCCACCCCACCCCACCCCCCCTCCCTCCCGCACAATGCAACCCCACTCACTTCTCCAACACGTGGAACATCTTCTTCAAAGCCTGGTCGGTGGGCACGTCAGGGTTGCCTTCTGATACATCTATATGCTACTCACTGCCATACCGCCACCCCCCCCCCCCCCCCCCCCTCACGCAACCCCACTCACTTCTCCAGCACATCTTGAGAGCCTGGTCGGTGGGCACGTCAGGGTCGTCCATGTAGCTGCCCAGATCCCGCTCCCAGCCTCCACTCAAGGCAAAGCACGGGCCACAGCACTCATCAACCACTCTACCCCGCCCCCCTTTCCCGTTTCATCTTCTTCCTCACAACCCCACTCACTTCTCCAGCACCTGGAACATTTTCTTGGGAGCCTGGTCGGTGGACACGTCAGGGTCGTCCATGTAGCTGCCCAGATCCCGCTCCCAGCCTCACTAGGTCCTGGAACTCAGACGCCACCTCCCCACAACACTAATCCAACCCCCCCACATGCACTCCCACTCACTTCTCCAGCACATGGAACATCTTCTTGAGAGCCTGGTCGGTGGGCACGTCAGGGTCATCCACGTAGCTGCCCAGGTCGCGCTCCGGGCGCACTAAGTCCCGAATGCCCCACAGCAGGTCCTGGAACTCCACAACACTGATCTAAGCCCTCCCTTCCCCCTCGACAGTGAGTGAGTGAGGGAATGAGTGAGTGAAAGATCTATCCCTACCCTTCCTCATACCGTTCTTAAGATAGCACTCACTTCTCCAGCACATGGAACATTTTCTTGAGAGCCTGGTCGGTGGGCACGTCAGGGTCGTCCATGTAGCTGCCCAGGTCCCGCTCCAGGCGCACTAAGTCCTGGAACTCAAACGCTGCCTCCCTCAGCGCGTCCGCCTTGGCCTCGGGCCAGTCAAAGTGCTTCAGCACTGCTCGCTCGTCCACCTGTGTGTGGGGAGAGGAATGGGGAGGGGGAGGGGAGGAGAGATGAGGGAGGGGAGATTGAGAGGAGAAGGGGAGCCGCCTCCCGCAGGGCGTCTGTCTTGTCTGTCAGCAGTGCCCGCTCGTTCACCAAGGGGTGTGTGGGGGAGGGGGAGGAGGGGGTTGTCTAGTAGGGTGGCGTTGATAATGCTTACTGCGGAAACATATCCAAAGGCGAGCCCCTCGCAGGGGGGGTGGGCACTGGTCGCTCCCAGATACTAAATGCTGGAATCAGAGCGGGCTTGATGCAGCTGCTGCCAGGGACATACCAGGAACGCCAGGGACATGAATCAACTGGCTCCTAGTCCAGCCGGACTTTTGAGGCGCCTAAAAAGTAGTCGAAGCGGAATCAAAGCAAACCTACCAGGAACGCCAGCTCCTCGTCGAGCCAGTTGACGAAGGCCACGACGTCCTCGATGTCGAAGTAGGAGGCGTCGCGCACCTCCCTCGCCAGGGTGTTGATGAAGTCGCCCTGCATCTCCACGTCCTGCTTGATCTGTTGGGGGGGGAGTTGGGAGAAGGGTGTGCGAAGGGTGTGCGAAGAGTTGTGCGAAGGGTTGTGCGAAGGAGTGAGGCGAGCACAGTTGAGGGAAGAGGAGACACTAGCACGGGTGTGAAAAATGGCAGCTAGAAAACCAGGAGAACGAAAAAGAAAGAGGGGGGGGAAGAAACTCGGTTGCATCAGGCCAACACTTACCACCGTTTTTTTCAGTTCCATATTTTCAGAAAATCCGGAAAACAAAACTGCACTTACAGCCAGCAGGTGCGACGAGCGTCCTTCGATCTCGCCAATCATATCCCCTCTCACGGCCGTCATGCTCAACCCCTCCTCCGCCTCCCTCCCCCCAACACCTCCCAGTCCCTCCCTCTGCATCCTCATCAGCTGCTGATAGAACGCCACCACTTCAGGCGCCCTCCGCATCCCCTCATCGTCCATTCCCTCCTTCCCACCCAGTTTCCCTCTGGGCATTGCGGGCGGCAATGGAACCCCGCCGGCCGGCGGCAGGGGCGGCGGAAGTGGCACTGCGCCGCCCACTGCTTTGTTGAGCAGGGCGGCGGCGTGCGTCACTTCCATTTCCTCGTCCAGGTGGCTCGGGCGGGTGGTTCGGGGCCTGGGCGGCGCGGACGGCACTCTTGGCTCGCGCTTCTCCGGGGCGGCGACGCGCGGCGTTTTCCCAACGGACGCGTTAGCCGAAATACCCGATTTTTTCAGGGCAGCCGCAGCTTCGGCCTGTTGGAGGTTAAAAATCTGCCGCTCCTGGGCAAGGAGGTGCCGATCCTTGAACCCCGGGAATCGACGGTGCAGATTGTCCTTGTCGGGGCGGGACACGGATCGACGGACGAGATTGAAGGAGTCACCGACGGTGAAATCGCCCATGGGGTTCATCATCATGCCTGGAGGAGGCTGCTTCATCTTGAGCTTTCTGAGAATCGCCTCCTTCCTCTCCTCATCCTGCCCTCCCTCCCTTCCAAATTCTCCACCCTCTCCTCCTCCGCCTCCTCCCCCACCTCCCCCACTTCCACCCCCTCCTTCCCTTCCTCCTCTGTGGCGTGCCCTTCGCTCTCCTTCATACCTGGCGGCAGCCCGAGCAGCAGCATCAGAAACAGCATCTGCAGCACCACCACCAGAACTCCCATCACCAACACCACCAGCACCACCACCCGCAGCACCACCACCCCCACCAGCACCCCCAACACCCCCACCAGCAGCAGCAGTTTCCTCGAGGTCTCGCGCGGACTTGTTGCGGCGCCAGGTGAGGAAGTTCTTGAGCTTGCTCGCTGCATCCTGCTGCGACATGGCCTGCAGAGACATTGTTCTCCCCAGCGCATCCTTCCCTCCCCCTCCCACACCCGCACCCCCACCACCTCCTCCACCCCCACCACCACCCTCACCAAAACCGCCACCACCAGCACCAGCACCAGACGCCACTCCCACGCCCACTCCCCATCCTCCTCCTCTCCCTCCCGTCCCAGGTCCAGGCGTTCTCGCCTTCCTTCCTCCTCCTCCCGCAGCTCCCCCTCCCCCACCAGCAGCACCCCGCCCATAGCTATCCGGGGAGGAGTGAAATGGTTCGTCTGTGGCAGCAGCGCTGCCGCGGTCAGGCGAGGAGGCGAAGGAGGCAGAGTCGTTGTATAGGGAGAGGGAGTCGGAGTCGTCATCGTTGTAACGGCCACCAGCAGCTGAAGGTTCCCCTGTGGGGTAGCCGTCGGCAAACTGCTGCATGAGGTGTTTCGCGCGGTCCTGAGGGGTACAGAGGGGTAAAGGAAGGGACAGACAGGGGAAGCGATGGTCAGGCGAGGAGGTGAAGGAGGCAGAGTCGTTGTAGAGAGACAGGGAGTCGGAATCGTCGTCGTTGTACCGACCACCAGCAGCTGAAGGTTCCCCTGTGGGGTAGCCGTCGGCAAACTGCTGCATGAGGTGTTTCGCACGGTCCTGAGGGGTGCAGAGGGAAAGAAGAAAGGGGTAGGGAGAGGGGAAGGAAACACGAGGGGGATTGGCTGTTACTGGCAGCAGTGCTGCCTCGGTGGGCCAAGAGACCAGGAGGCGAGGAGGCGAAGGAGGCAGAGTCGTTGTAGAGAGAGAGGGAGTCGGAATCATCGTCGATTTACCGACCACCACCAGCAGCACCTGAGGGCTTCCTGTGGGTAGCCATCGGCAAACTGCTGCATGAGGTGTTTGGCGCGATCCTGAGAGGTGGAGAAGGGGAAAAAAGGAAGGGGAAGATGAAAGGGAATGGGAAAGGGGGGGGAAAGCGAGGGAGGTTGGGCATTATAAGCAGCAGCGCTGGCGCGGTCAGGCGAGGAGGCAAAGGAGGCCCTGTCTCTGTCTGTAGAGGGAGAGCGAGTTGGAGTTTATCGTGTGAGGCAACGCACCCTCACCTGGGAGCGTGGGGCGAAAGCAGCACCCTCCCCTGGGAGCGTGGGGCGAAAGCAGCACCCTCACCTGGGAGCGTGGGGCGAAAGCAGCACCCTCACCTGGGAGCGTGGGGCGAAAGCAGCACCCTCCCCTGGGAGCGTGGGGCGAAAGCAGCACCCTCCCCTGGGAGCGTGGGGCGAAAGCAGCACCCTCCCCTGGGAGCGTGGGGCGAAAGCAGCACCCTCACCTGGGAGCGTGGGGCGAAAGCAGCACCCTCACCTGGGAGCGTGGGGCGAAAGCAGCACCCTCACCTGGGAGCGTGGGGCGAAAGCAGCACCCTCACCTGGGAGCGTGGGGCGAAAGCAGCACCCTCACCTGGGAGCGTGGGGCGAAAGCAGCACCCTCACCTGGGAGCGTGGGGCGAAAGCAGCACCCTCACCTGGGAGCGTGGGGCGAAAGCAGCACCCTCACCTGGGAGCGTGGGGCGAAAGCAGCACCCTCACCTGGGAGCGTGGGGCGAAAGCAGCACCCTCACCTGGGAGCGTGGGGCGAAAGCAGCACCCTCACCTGGGAGCGTGGGGCGAAAGCAGCACCCTCACCTGGGAGCGTGGGGCGAAAGCAGCACCCTCACCTGGGAGCGTGGGGCGAAAGCAGCACCCTCACCTGGGAGCGTGGGGCGAAAGCAGCACCCTCACCTGGGAGCGTGGGGCGAAAGCAGCACCCTCACCTGGGAGCGTGGGGCGAAAGCAGCACCCTCACCTGGGAGCGTGGGGCGAAAGCAGCACCCTCACCTGGGAGCGTGGGGCGAAAGCAGCACCCTCACCTGGGAGCGCGGGCTGCGGTTGTTGTTGAGGGAGAGCGCCGAGTCCTTGCCGCCAGCCATGGCCTTGTTGTGGCGCAGCTCAAAGCGCAGACACGCGTTCACCCACCGCAGGTACACCACCTCCTCCACCTCGCTGAACCGGCTGTTCTGTAGACCTTCGACCTGCCCAGGATGCATGGATAGGAGTGTGTGCACATGGTACGAATTGACAGGTTGAGACATACGACTGCATTCGCCCATCGCAGGCACATCACCTCCTCCACCTCGCTGAACGGGCTGTTCTGTAGACCTTCCATCAGTGGTGGAGGTGGTTATGCAGTGGTGTGGGTGGGGGTGATGAGACATTAGATGCATGCACATGAGTGCGTTCACCCACCGCAGGTACATCACCTCCTCCACCTCGCTGAACCTACTGTTTTGGGTGGTGTGTGTGGGGCTGTTTTGCAGACCTTCTACCTGTATACCACAGTATGCATATGCTATGCAATAACAGGTTAGAGGCATGCACACAACACGCGTTCACCACCTCCCCACATCGCTGAACCTACTGTTCTGCAGACCTTCGACCTACAGACCACGGTACGCATATGGTATGCAATAACAGGTTAGAGGCATGCACACAACACGCGTTCACCACCTCCCCACATCGCTGAACCTACTGTTCTGCAGACCTTCGACCTACAGACCACAGTACGCATATGGTATGCAATAACAGGTCAGAGGCATGCACACAACACGCGTTCACCACCTCCCCACATCGCTGAACCTACTGTTCTGCAGACCTTCGACCTACAGACCACGGTACGCATATGGTATGCAATAACAGGTTAGAGGCATGCACACAACACGCGTTCACCACCTCCCCACATCGCTGAACCTACTGTTCTGCAGACCTTCGACCTACAGACCACGGTACGCATATGGTATGCAATAACAGGTCAGAGGCATGCACACAACACGCGTTCACCACCTCCCCACATCGCTGAACCTACTGTTCTGCAGACCTTCGACCTACAGACCACGGTACGCATATGGTATGCAATAACAGGTTAGAGGCATGCACACAACACGCGTTCAGCACCTCCTCCACCTCGCTGAAGCTACTGTTCTGGGGACCTTCGACCTACAGACCACGGTACGCATATGGTATGCAATAACAGGTTAGAGGCATGCACACAACACGCGTTCAGCACCTCCTCCACCTCGCTGAAGCTACTGTTCTGGGGACCTTCGACCTGGGGACAGAGAATGCACATGGTATGGGTATGAAGTTGGCTGGTTAGAGGCATGCGCACAGCACGCGTTCACACAGCACGCGTTCACACAGCACGCGTTCAGCACCTCCTCCACCTCGCTGAAGCTACTGTTCTGGGGACCTTCCGACCTGGGGTGATGCGGTGAGGGAATGGTGAGACATGGGAGGCAATGGAGAGGGGTAGAATGACGGTCCTATAACTCAATACATTTCTGAGACGTCTCGAAATCCTATGCACTCCCACGAGTAACCAACCCATCCACCTGCATAAGAAGTCAGCTATTTTTTTGTCGCAAAAGAGAGGGAAGGTGTAAAGATATACACCTTTAATCGATAGAGGACGGATCCAGAGGTTCAACCCACACACCTGTCTGAGAAGATCCGCCACTCGCTGCCGCAGCAGCATGGCTTCCATCTGTGCCTTCTTCAGCTGCTGGCTCTGCAGCACAGGAAGACAGGGGAAGGGGTCACAGCACAGGACAACATGGGGTGGGGAGGGGCAGCAACAAATCAGAGAGAGGGTTTTAGCTGCTGCGTGTAGCAACTCACATTTAATAGAGTTCAAACGTCCCATGAAACCAGGGTTATCACAGGCCACCCATCAGTTACCTCTAGCACTAGGAGGTCCAATGGAGCCCCAGATAGGAGCCATGTCTTTACGTGGCTGCGACTGATTCAACTTGTAAAAAAGTTTGTTAGTTAAAATGTTTGCTTGAAAATCTCTTGTAGAGAAATTTGGCGGTAACCGGTTTCGGCTTATAGCCTTCTTCAGACCATCAGTTACCTCTAGCACTAGGAGGGGGTCCACGTGCGCCTGTGCCACTCACACAAGACAGGCTCACGTAACACACTCCCATCCCATCTCAAAAAGAGAAAAGCCACAGCAGCACAAAACAGCAATAACAAACTCCCGTAGAAGAGGGTCACCTCGGGCGCTATGAGCCTATCCATGTACGCCTGGGCCTCTGCCAGCTGCACGCTCATCTTCCGCCTCTGCAGCTGCACCTCATGGCTGGTCACTCAATGTGTGTATAGGGTTACCACAGGCGACTTTTGAGTCGACTCAAAAGTCACCTCTGCAGCTGCACCTCATGGCTGGTCACTCAATGTGTGTATAGGGTTACCACAGGCGCCACTCCACCCAGTTACCTCGGGCGCTATGAGTCTATCCATGTGCGCCTGGCCCTCTGCAGCTGCACCTCATGGCTGGCCGGTCAATGCGTGTATAGGGTTACCACACCTCCCTGCTTGTTACCTCGGGCGCTATGAGCCTATCCATGTGTGCCTGGGCCTCGGCCAGCTGCACGCTCATCTTCCTCCTCTGCAGCTGCAGCTCGTTGTTCATGCGCCTCGCCTCCACCAGCTCCACCTCCACCTTCTCCTGCACCTGCCAGGGGGGAGGGGAGGATGGGGGGAAGAGGCGGAGGAGGCGGGGGTGAGGGAGCGAGGGAGCAACAAGGGATCGTGAGGTGCCTCAAAACACGTGACGCTGCAGCTGAAGCTCGTTGTTCATGCGCCGCGCCTCCACCAGCTCCACCTCCACCTTCTCCTGCGCCTGGAGGGGAGGAAAGGGGAAGAGTGAATAAGGGTACGGTAGGTTGCCTTGAGAGCCTTCCCTAACGTTAAACGTTCCCCCCACCGAACTGAGGCCCAATACTCAACGTCACCCACCACACCGTAGTCTCACACCCCCCAATTCAATCCCCCTTCCCCACGCCGAACTCCCCTCTCCTGCTCCCAACCTCACCCTCGTGAACCCCATCACCACCCTTCTCTCATCATCCCCCTCACACCTTTTCCTCCCCCCCCCCCCCCCCCACCTTGCGCAAGGCCTCCACCTCCTTGTGCTTCGCCAGGGCAAGAGCCTCCCTGTGCATCAGCTGCATACCAGCCGTCTCTGCAATACAATCACCCAGTTCCCCCCCAGCGCCCCCTCCCCACCCACCTTGCGCAAGGCCTCCACCTCCTTGTGCTTCGCCAGGGCAAGAGCCTCTTTGGCGTTCACCTCCTCCTCGCGGGCTTTAAGTGATGCCACCACCTGGGGCAGTGGGGAGGAGAGATGTGAAAGCCAAGGGAGGACTTTAGGGGCTCCACTGCGGTGGCCTGTGAGCCGAGCCTTCTGCAGTAATCTCGGATGTAGAGCCCGAGCCTGAGCCTGAGCCCGAGCCTGAGCCCGAGCCTGAGCCTGAGCCTGAGCCTGAGCCTGAGCCTGAGCCCGAGCCTGAGCCTGAGCCTGAGCCTGAGCCTGAGCCTGAGCCTGAGCCTGGGCCTGGGCCTGAGCCTGAGCCTGAGCCTGAGCCTGAGCCTGAGCCTGAGCCTGAGCCTGAGCCTGAGCCTGAGCCTGAGCCTGAGCCTGAGCCTGAGCCCGAGCCTGAGCCTGAGCCCGAGCCTATCCGCAGCTGCTTCTTTAGTTTGGACAGCAGTAGCACTGGGCATATAACAGCAAATAAGCTGTAGAGCAAAGCAAATCACCAGCACCCATACCTGCTTGAGTGCTGTGATCTCTGAGGAAGAGCCCGAGCCTATCCGCAGCTGCTTCTGCAGCTCCCTCTCTCGCGCCCTCAGCTCGTTCAGCTGTGGCATTTGGGGAGTGAGGCCATGGAAGAGGACGCAGAGAGAGGTGTTGAGGGGAAAAGTAAGGTCTTAAACAGAGTGAGGGATGGACAGCGCAAGTATAATGTTTTGAGTCGACTCAAAACACAATGGAAAGCGCGGGGACAATTGACGAGGAAAGTACGGAATGGAGGGCGAAAGTCAGACTTCTCAATACTCGTGGAAGAGTGGAAGGCACAGGGAGAGACAAGGGAAGCGGAGAACAGACCGAGGCGAAAGAGGAGATGGATCGAGGAGGCAAAAGAGAACAGGCCGAGGCGAAAGCAGAGCAGAAATAGCGGATCAGCAATAAGGGAGCGTCAAAAGAGGAGCGGGAAAAGGGGAGAGGAGAAAGAGGAGTGAACCCCGCTACCCTCTGTGAACATCGAGTCCCCACTGCTGCTTTTGTAACACGCTCTTTGCCATGCCCTTGCCTCACACACCAAACCTCCTCCTCAGTTCCTTGTTTCAACCCACAACAACCGCCAGCCCACCCTCGTTTCCCCTCGTCAGCCCTTTCTCAATCCCTCAACTCCTTCTCATCTCGCCCCTCACCTCTTCTCACTAACCCTCCTCACCTCCTTGTTGATCTTATCCATCTCCTGCACGTCCAGCGCCCACTGCTGCTTCTGAAACACGCTCTCCGCCATGCCCTTCCCTCCAAGCACCCAGAACCCCTTTTCATTCCCTTGTTTCAACTTTCAACCCACAACAACCCCCAGCCCACCCTGCTTTCCCTCCTCACATCCTTCTCACTCCTTTCGAATCCCTTCAACCTCCCTCACGCACTCACCTCCTTCTTGATCTTATCCATTTCCTGCATGTCCAGCGCCCACTGCTGCTTCTGAAACACGCTCTCCGCCATGCCCTTGCGCAGCCGAACCACCTCCGCCCGCTCCCTCTCCACCTCCCTCCGCTGCCTCTCCACCTCCTCGCCCCCGTACCGCAGCTGCCGCAGCTCCTGGTCAGGCAAGGGGTGACAGACGGGATGGGAACGGCATGGGTGGGCAGGTAACAGAGAACAGAGACGAGGAGGGCACATTCAGGACGAGATGGTCTGAGGCACCACCTCCGCCCGCTCCCTCTCCACCTCCCTCCGCTGCCTCTCCACCTCCTCGCCCCCATACCGCAGCTGCCGCAGCTCCTGGTGTGGGGAAGACCGAAAGAGGACGATATGGCAGCAGGGGAAGCGAGAATGAGAGCAGAAAAGAGGCAGGCACGATCAGGCAGAGACAGCTTGAGGCGCCTCTAGAAGCATCCTGAGGTGGCCTTGCAAGGTACCACCTCTGCCCGCTCCCTCTCCGCTGTCCTCTGCTGCCTCTCCACCTCCTCACCCTCATACCGCACCTGCCGCTGCTTCTGGTGTGACCAAAGGGAACAGAGGGTAACGACACACATGGGCACCACGGTTTGACGCAACATGAGATGGGGTGCGTTTAATAGTATTCAGGATTCAGTTGCCTTCAGAAGAACCGAAACGCCTTCATCCTCCTCACAGACGCGGCCATGAGCTGCTCGTGCTGCTGCCTCTTACTCCTGCACCTCCTTCATGTACACATCCTAGTGTATGTTTTTTGAGAATTCTCAAAAAACATACACTCTTACTCCTGCACCTCCTTTTTGTACACATCCTAGTTTTGAGGCGCCTCAAAACTACACATCCTCACACCCTTCACACACATCCCAGTGCCCGCACAAACTCTCACACGCTCGTCACACCCATAGAGACCACCACACAGCACTTGCGCACACCCTAAACCCAACAGTTCGGCCATGAGTTGCTCGTGCTGCTGCCGCATCGCCTCCGCGCTGCACCCTCAACACACACCCCAACACCCTCACACACCTGGAAACCCCTCTACACCTTGCCACACACCCCCCCACCTGCAGTTCCGCCATGAGCTGCTCATGCTGCTGCCGCATCTCCTCCGCGCTGCACTGCAGCTCCCACACCTCCCTTTGATGCTCCTCCGCCCTCACCCGCTGCTGCTCTTCCAGCGCCTCCCGCTCCTGCACCTCCTGCTCTACTCTTGCCTCCACCTCCGCCACCTCCGCCATCACGCGCTCATGCACCTCCCTCTCAACCCTCGCCTTCACCCCCTCTATCTCCCTCGCGTGCGCCTCTTTTAAAGCTTTCTCCTGGGCGGCTAGCAGCTCCCGCACTCGCTCCTCCTCCCGCGCTCGCTCCTCCCGCGCGCGCTCCTTTCTCACCCGCTCGTCCAGGTCACCAAGCCCGTTGGGTAGAGCAGCAACGGCTGACGGACCAAAGCTTAAGGCGGAAGGGGAGTCGCCAGGAAGCACGTTCCGGACAGCAGCTTTCCGGCCGTCCAGAGCGAGTTTCGACTCAAAGTCAGACCACACGTCCGGCACGTCCTTGTCTGAAAAGAACTCGTCTCCCGATGCAGCACCAGCACCCTGCTCGTCTCCCCCCCACCCAGCCCCCTGCTCGTCTCCCGCCCCAATGCCCTCGTGTCCCCACCCAGCGCCCTGCACGTTTCCAGCCACACCGCCCCCAGTGTCTCCTGTAAGTGCATCCCTAGCCGTCCCTCCAAAGCCACCACCTTCCGCACTACCTCTGTCACCCCCACCACCGGCACCAGTAGTACCAGTGCCCGCAATACCCCCAGTGCCCAAGGGTATGCTTGCGTTATCCCCATCCCCTCCTGCTGATGCTATCGCTGCTACTAACTTTCCATGTGCCAACATCTCAATTCCATCTTCCCCGTCTTCCCCTTCCTCTTGCCCCTGCTTGTCCTTTCCCTTTCCCTTCGCCTTCCCTTTCCCCTTACCCTTCCCCTTCTCCTTACCTTCCTTCTCCTTCTCCTTTTCCTCCTTATCCTTCTTCTTCTTCCTCTTCTCCTTCCGGTCATTCTTCCTGTCCTTCCTTCCCCTCTCGCCCTCCTCCTCCTCCCCTCTTCCTTCACTTGTTACTACATCCCCAGAGGCCCCGTCATAGTCCCTTCCATCTACAGTCACATCTGGGACACCAGCAGCACCACCACCACCAGCAGCAACGCCTCCAGACGCCCGAACACGTCCCTCCTTGTGCTTGCTTCCTGACCTTCCTCCTCCCCTTCCCCCTCCTGCTCCCGCCTCTCCTCCTCCTGCTCCTCCCCCCGTTTGAGTCACCCCCGTGATCCCATGCCCTTCCCCGCCTCCCTGACCAAACGTCGCGCCAACTCTCCCGTGTGACAGTAACGAGCGGTCCCTCTCCTCCCCCACGCTCTCCACGTCATTCAGCTCCGGCACTGGCCGCCCCCCCTGCTGCCCTTGCGCCTCTACCTGGCACACGCAGCACGGGGGGAAGACACGGACGGAGGTAAGACACGGACGAGGGAGAATGTAGAGAGAGGAGGAGGAGGCGGGGGGGAGTGGGGGAAGAGAGGGAGGAGGAGAAGAGGGAGGAAGAGGAAGGGAGGAATTGCGTGGGGTGTTTGGCAGCACATGGGTGAGACGGGCGCAATGAACGGAATAGGCACAATGCAGTCGAGCAAGTCACGGGCGTGCCCTCGTTTTACTCACATCTTGTTCACGCTGCGACCTTTGCTGCCGCCTCCGCCGCCGCCGTCGTTCCTCCTCCTGCCCTGAAACCGAGATCATAGGCGAAAACGAGAGGAAGTCCGAATCAAAACTTGCTCTTCTGGGTCGGCGATTCAGGAATGGAGCAGCAAACCACTGATCTCGGGGATTTTATAACCTGTAACTGTGCATGTCGTGCATGGATTGCCAGACCAGCTGAACACCCCAGAACATAACTCCAGAGCGCACGAGAGTGCGAGCCTAGGTCGATTGACTCGCAATCGAAATGCGCACAAATTATACTCCCAGGTCAACTGGGATTCCAATGTAGGTGGACGATCGGCTGTCGTAGCTTCACTCGCTGACACGCGGAATGGTAACCAGATACGATAACCAGACAGACACGCTACTCAGATACCGTAGCCAGACACGACAACAGGCATGTAACCACATGAAACCAGACACGACAACAGGCATGTAACCACATGAAACCAGACACGACAACAGGCACGGTAACCAAACCGGTGGCCAGATGCAGTATCCAAGGACATCAACTGGTACAGTAACCATATACGACAGCTAGACATGGCAACAGGCACGTTAATCGGTTAGGATAACTGGCAACAGCAACAAGAACGGTAACCAGACACAGTGAACAGGTACGGTAACCATGTATGGTAACCAGATACGGAAGCCAGACACCTGGGTGCCCGTGCGCGACGCGGTTGATCTTCCCAAGAACTCGCGTATCTTACTCTGGTTGTGGCCGGCACTTCCAAGAACTTGCTTCGCAACGACGGCGGCTGCCACTGCTGCTACAACGAACTTGAGAGCTCCGTCCATCGCGGATGGCTTTCGCCTATCTATCTGTCATTGCGAATGTGACAGGAGGAGGCTTTTGGCAGGAGGCTTGTACAAAGAGTAGACTCAAAAGGCGGGAGGAGGAGGAGCCATGATCGGGAATGGGGACAGCTGGTGCGATGATGCACAGCTGTTATGTGGCATTAGACTCTGCAGCAGAGAGCTACGTGGCGTTGAAACGGAGGGCCAGCGGAAGCAGCATCATCTGGCACTCGCAGGGCGACTTGACGTAAGCTGAAGTGAAATTCAACAACGAATGTCCGCGTTGGTTGCGTAACCTACACCTGCAGCACACGACACGGAGGTGTGTCGGATTCTTGAAAAAACGTAGTCTTTCGTACTAAGAGCCACAGCCAAGCTAGCTGCACAGCAGACCAAGTTGCTGCTCATCAGATCAAGCGACTTGCACGAGCACTGCCAGGCTCCATGAAACCAACAAGCTGCTATCAGATGTGTTGTTTTCTCAGTACAGACATGACGTTGTCGGAGTAGCATGGAACTCTACTCAACCATTCTAGAATAGTAAAGAACCGTTCTGGAGCGCAAAATATCTCACCAAGTCGCACGGCTCCCTGGCTGTGACCCAAGCCACGCACGCAGGAAGGATTTCAAACCAGGTTCAGCCAGACCAGGGCAGCGTTGTGCTGGCTTGGGCGAGCTCGTGGTGTCTCACCCGCTGATCAAGCGACGCGACTCAACCAAGCCAGTTCTGTCACACCGAACCTTCTTTCCGAACCCGTTTTGGCCTTGTATGGCGGGAACATCAGGTTGAGAAGGCTTGGGCCAATCAACGCAACCCAAGAGATTGTCAGAATGCCAAGCCGCATCCATTTCTAAACATTTGCTTTTGTGAGCTGACCGGCCTAAGTTCCAGGTTTTTGTAGATTACGGATTTCGGAATCACCTCTAAGTCCTCTCCTTGCAACACCACAAAGAAGAACCAAGGCTGACCGGTCAGAAAATATCACTCAGCATCCCTGCTGGTGCACATCCACGTCAGCAGCACAGCTTCGTGACGACGAGCATCACACATTGCACGAGCAACGCTTCTTGCACATTAATGACATACTCGTTATCACACGAGATCAAGAACCTAACCACTAGCTAATACATACTAAAAGCAGTGAGTGCTGTACTATATGAGAAGAAAAAAAAACCACAATACAGAGAATAAGTCAGTTGCGATAGCGGGGAAAAAATACGCTGGTTCCCCTGAATCACGACTAATCTGCAATGTCATCTTGAAGTTCCTCATTCAATGTCTCATCCTGTGATGCAAAAAAATAAACAGTCATTCCTGAATGCGTCGAATGAAAGCAGCGAGTAAAACTAGCTAGTGACTATTTTAGTAAATGATTCTCTTTCCTCTCACCTCTTCAGTTTTCTTGGACACAAGTCGCTTTTTCTTTGCAGGCTTTGGTGCCTCGTCTTGCTTCTCATCGTCATCCTCAGTGTCCCCAACACCCTCCACCCTGGATTGCTGCAAAAGAAATGGATGACACGACTTTGTTTATGCATTAATTCAAGAACACAATCCAGGTTACATGTTGACTTTGCATATTGCCTTACCATGTTGTATTCTTCTAATTGCGCCTCATATGCTTTCTTGCGCTCTGAGGCTCCCTTATTGTACACCTCTTTTTCCTGCAAATTCAGGGAAGAATCATCAGGGACACTCAAGGCAACAGCAGGTGAGCGTGCATTCGGATGGGCAGACATAAGTTGAACTTCAAGCTAACAGAAGTTAGGGAGCATAAGCGTTAGATCGCACCTCTTCCGTCAAGCTCTTCCATTTGAGACCAGCCGCTTTGCTCATCTGCATGTTTCGCACAACAAATTTGCATAAGAGGCGAAAAACATCACAATGGAAGGAACCAAACAATGACAAAATCCCGTGACTATGGCTGCTGGGGGAGAGAAACGCACCTCTGTGACGCCCTTCGATTCGGGATGTTCCTCCTTGTATTGCTTCCGAAAATCTTCTCTGCAAATCACAGAACAACACGCTCCAAGACCGCGTCAACCCTTAAATCCCGCAACCGAAGCGCCTAGAGTGGTGAAGCCTCAGGCCCAGTCGAACCACGATCCATGGAATGGTGCACGAAAGCACGCCTATGAGGAGTATTGGAAACAGGAGAAAATGGCGGGACGTACAAGAACAGGAAGTAGGGGGTTGTTGGTTTCTTGGGAGCGTTGGGGTCTTTTTCGGCTTTCCGCTTCTGCTGCTTCTCCTCCTTGGCGGGCTTGGTCTTCTGCTGCTTCTCCTCAGCTTTCTGCTTCCTGTAAAAAAAGAACCGTAAATTGATTGAGGCCGGAGACACTTGGAACAGAGCCGCAGTGATGTTCAAACCGACACGCCGTAATCAGCAAGAAAACATGTTGAAACTGATGAGTTGAAACGTACTTCGCAGCGGCTTCCTCTGCCATCCGCTCTCGAAATTCCAGGCGCAAACGCTCTGCCATGCATTTGGTAAGAAAGACACGACGGTTAAAGTCATCCATGCGAGAGCATTAGCGTGACTGACCAAAATGATTATGAAAGAACACCAACAATTGAAAGAGGCGAGTTCTGAGAAAACTCTTCTGTCATTTGCATCTGAACACGCCACGTGACTTTTCAAATCGATCCTTTGAGAAACCTTTACTCCAAGGAGTTTGATACCGATTGGGGAAGGAGATTGGCATTGAGGTCGGGCGGCTTGTAACGCAGCGTCGTTCTCGCACGAGTGCATGCCCGCCATCTTGTGAGGCGCGTCAAGAAGTAGTATGAATCGAGCCCACGCGAGACCACTCACCGAGGGTGTCTTTGAAAGCGGCGTCGTTCTCGCACGAGTGCATGTCCGCCGTGGCAACCGGCACCTTGGAGTTGCACGCTTCACTGCCAGACACACGAATTTCCAAACGAATTACCGACAAAAAACGGGTTCTTTAATGTTATGAATATTAACGACGGGAGAAACGGATGCTGTTGCGTGTGTAGAATAGTGTTACATTTCGGCGGATCATAACTCCGTTACAATATCAGTCTTTACCAAGTGAGAAAGGCACTGCCATCAGGAGCTCGACGCATGACTGTCGGCTCCGCGCTCTTCACGCGCTTCTTAGCTCCTGGTCTTGCCATGGCGCCTCTAGCTTGAGATTACTGAAGACACTCGTCAATGTGCTGAGAAACTGAACGGTTAGCACCTATTTAACAACAATGGAGATGCGAGTATCGCTTCAACGTCAAACGTCGCGAACCTAGCAGAACGAAAGCAGGGGACGAGGTGATAGAAGGAGAACGAGGTGATTGGGGGTGGAGCTTCACGGGAATGTTATGGACTTGGGGAGAAGGGGGACTGAAGTAGCCAACTGTTGAGAAACTTTTCACATGCAGCACCATCAATGGCATGCAGAGAGAGTTTGTTGAGGGGGGGTTGCGGCCTGCGTGTCTTTCCTAAAATTTGAGCTCTCACCCTGACATCCTAAGTTTCTTTGAGAATATTCGAACTTACGTAAGCCTTGCGAGATTCTGTACTGAAGGGAGGACGACTGTCGTAGAATCCTGTGTTTTTTCTGAGACTCAACGGCAATATGTACACTTTAAAACAGCGAGAGTACCCATTGGATGCACCTAGAAGCATCGTACGATTTAGGGTAGCTGTACCGAATAAAGTGGCTGCTTGCGCTTCGCGATTCAGCAGCAGGCAGCATTTGGAATTTGAATTCGAATGTTCAAGTTCGCATTCGAAATCGGAGATGGCAGCACTACGTACGCTCTACAGGCCTCAGAATGATATTTGAGAAGTACACGGTGGTATACGAGAAGTGCGTGTAGGCAAAGATGGAGTACACGAAAATTTGGTACACAAATACTAATCCAGCTCAAAATCTTCATTAATTTGGCTTCCTATTAGGCCAAATACATGAGGTACATAATCAATTCTATAGCAAGCTATTGTTGGTCCATATCTAGCATAAGCTTGTCCATCTCCCCTGCACTGCCAATTCCTGCTGAAACAGCAGGACTACTTCCAGTGCTGCCCCCTTGCCCCATCCCTTGCAAGGGAACCATTTCAGAAACCCTACCTCCAGATAATGGAGACCCCTTTATTGTCACACTGCCGAGGGTCGGTGTTCCTACACCTTCCTTTCTTAGGTCCGGCGAACCTCCCGCCGAAGGTGGAGGCGGGAGTGGCGGTGGTGTGGCAGTTGGCATCAGCTTCGGCGTGCCCAGGTTCGGATTCCGCGACGTGATTGGCGTAGGATCGTCACCATCGCCAGGCTCGGCCGAAGCTCCATACTGCTTCATCCCACCTCTAGAAGGTGGCGAAACCATCCCCATTTTCTCCATCGCTTCCCGTAGAATCCCCACCTCCGCCTGCTGCCCCTGCTGCTCCCGCTCCCGCTCCTCCCGCTCCCACTCCTGCTGCTGTTTCAACTGCTGGTGGTGGTGAGGCTGCTGCTCCAACTCTTCTTCCATCTCCACAAAGCCTCCCCCCGGAGCACTCGAAGATGAGAGAGTGAAGCCCAGCGGAGCCGACGTGGGATCATTCGCTTCCGTCGAATCAACCGCTGACGACATATCGGCCGCTGCAGAAAACGCTGCAGCTAACCTCGCAGCCAAAGACGCGCCGCCAGACAACGCCACACCCACCGTGCCCCCCACCCCCCCAGCAGCCCCACTGTCTTTCCCTCCACTCCCCAGTTTCCCGTCAGCATTCTCTGTCGAAATAAGCTGCGCTTCTGAGAGAAAAGAATCAGCAGAGTCAACACCAGCACCCTGAGAGGCCATCCCTGTGGACCCAGCAGGGCGGTCGGAGGTGGAGAGGGCCTCCAGGTCTGTGAAGTGGTGCGGCTGGCTGCTGCCACTGGCCGAGCGCCGACACGACTCCATCTCCCTCCCTGCGATCAGAGGTATCGGGAGGGGTGGTAAGGATACGGAAACACACCTCAGGGAACAAATTTCCACTTGAACGAACAGAAACACACCTGAGGACACAGAAACACACCCGAGGACACAGAAACACACCAGAGGACACAGAAACACACCCGAGGACACAGAAACACACCTGAGAGGACACAGAAACACACGTGAGAGGACACGAAAACACACCTGAGAGGACACAGAAACACACCTGAGAGGACACAGAAACACACCTGAGGGCACGAAGGTGCGTGTGCGGTAGTGGTGGGTCTCCCCCGTGCCATCGCTGTAGAGCACATAGTCATGGTAGGTGGGGGCGAACTGCATGGGAATGGGGATGGGGAGAAGGGTAGGAATGATGTATGAATCACCAACCCAGGTGCGTGTGCGGTAGTGGTGGGTCTCCCCCGTGCCGTCGCTGTAGAGCACATAGTCATGGTAGGTGGGGGCGAACTGCAGGGGAATAGGGGCGGAGACAAGGGTAGGGATGATGCAGGGATCACCAAGCCAGGTGTGTCTCCCTCCCCCCCTCTCCCCCGTGCCGTCTCTGTAGAGCACATAGTCATGGTAGGTGGGGGCGAACTGCAGGGGAATAGGGATGGGGAGAAAGAGAAGGGTAGGGATGATGTACGGATCACCAACCCAGGTGCGCGTGCGGTAATGGTGGGTCTCCCCTGTGCCGTCGCTGTAGAGCACATAGTCATGGTAGGTGGGGGCGAACTGCAAGGGGGACAGGCAAGTGTGAAAAGGGACTAGAGCAAGGGGGAATAAAGGGGGAATAAAGGGGGAATAAAGGGGGAATAAAGGGGGAATAAAGGGGAATAAAGGGGGAATAAAGGGGGAATAAAGGGGGAATAAAGGGGGAATAAAGGGGGAATAAAGGGGGAATAAAGGGGGAATAAAGGGGGAATAAAGGGGGAATAAAGGGGGAATAAAGGGGGAATAAAGGGGGAATAAAGGGGGAATAAAGGGGGAATAAAGGGGGAATAAAGGGGGAATAAAGGGGGAATAAAGGGGGAATAAAGGGGGAATAAAGGGGAATAAAGGGGGAATAAAGGGGGAATAAAGGGGGAATAAAGGGGGAATAAAGGGGGAATAAAGGGTGAATAAAGGGGGAATAAAGGGGGAATAAAGGGGAATAAAGGGGGAATAAAGGGGGAATAAAGGGGGAATAAAGGGGGAATAAAGGGGGAATAAAGGGGGAATAAAGGGGGAATAAAGGGGAATAAAGGGGAATAAAGGGGGAATAAAGGGGGAATAAAGGGGGAATAAAGGGGGAATAAAGGGGGAATAAAGGGGGAATAAAGGGGGAATAAAGGGGGAATAAAGGGGGAATAAAGGGGGAAACTCAGCCAGCTATGTGTTTCTCTCCCGCGCCGTCCCTGTAAAGCATGTAGTCGTGGTAGGTGGGGGCGAACTGCGGGTGGGGAGATAAAGGTGGGAGGGAATGACGTACGGACCATCAACCCAGGCGTCTCTCTCTATCCCCCTCTCCCCTGTACCATCGCTGTAGAGCACATAGCCGTGGTAAGTGGGGGCGAACTGTGCGGGGAGGTGGGAAGAGAAGATGCGAGGGAGGGAGAAAGGTGAGTGAGAATGACCAATCTACTCATGTCAACGTCATCTCTTTCCCTCTTTCCCTCGCCTAGTGAACGGTGCTTTCTCACTAACCAAGTGATCAATGCCACTTTGTGGTTTTTGAGAATTCTCAAAAACCATCTCTCCCTCTCTCCCTCTCTCCCTCTCTCCCTCTTTCCCTCTTTCCCTCTTTCCCTCTTTCCCTCGCCTGGTGAACAGTGCTTTCTCACTAACCAAGTGAACAATGCCACTTTGAAACAGTGTCACTGACAACGATGTCTGGGAGGTTGATGGCATGATTGACGGATCTCAGAAGCAACTGGTAACCAGGTAACATGACACATAACTGACTCACCTGGTGAACACAGTTACCGGGTAACCAGCTCACCTGGTGAACAGTGTCGCTGACAACGTCTGTGAGGTTGATGGCATGTTTAAAGGATCGCAGCAGTCCCCACCTGCTCTCTGTTCATGGCCATTACATGGTCACCACCAGCTCACCTAGTGAGCAATGCTTTCTCACCTGGTGAACAGTGTCGCTGACAACGTCTGTGAGGTTGATGGCATGCTTAATAGACCTCAGCAGCCCCGCCTGCTCGCCATTCATGTCATGGCCAGATTGGCCTGCAGAAACGGCTTGAAGGGGAAGGCGTGCATGAAGCCTCCCTGGTATCCAGCCCACCCGGTAACCAGCCCAATGGTAACCAGCCTACCTGGTAACCAGCCCACCTGGTAACCAGCCTACCTGGTAACCAGCCCACCTGGTAACCAGCCCACCTGGTAACCAGCCCACCTGGTAACCAGCTCACCTGGTGAACAGTGTCGCTGACAACGTCTGTGAGGTTGATGGCATGTTTAATCGACCTCAGCAGCCCCGCCTGTTCCCCATTCATGGCCACATTGGCCTGCAGAAACGGCTTGAAGGGGAAGGCGTGCATGAAGCCCAGCGCGCCCAGCACCATCTCCGCACAGATGAGCACGTTCTGCAGGTCTGCCGCGTCCTCTGCACTGCGTACATATCCTAGTTGCGCCACTATAAACACCAGCACTCCCTGAGGGAGTGAGAGAAAGGGGGAGGGATGAACGGAGTGAAGTGGAAGGAGAGGTATGAGGGGGACGGCTTGAAGGGGAGGACGTGCATGAATGAAGCCCAGCGCCCCCAGCACCATCTCCGCACAGATGAGCACGTTCTGTAGGTCGGCCGCGTCCTCTGCACTGCTGACGTAGCCCATCTGCGCCACTATGAACACCAGCATGGAAGGGAATGGAGGCACAGGGAGAGAGGGGAGGGGAAGGAGGTGTGAGCGTTGGGTCGCAGTGTTGTCTCCCTCAAGAGGGACAGACAGAGGGTGGGGGAGGGAGGGATGCAAGGAAAGCAGGGCAGGGAGTGGCTTGAAGGGGAAGGCGTGCATGAATGAAGCCCAGCGCGCCCAGCACCATCTCCGCGCACATCAACACGTTCTGTAGATCTGCTGCATCCTCTGCACCGCTCACATAGCCCAGCTAAGCCACTATAAAGACCAGCACGCCCTGAAAGAAGCGAGAGAGGGATAGGGAAGGGGGAGGTGGGATGGGGAGAGAGGGGAGGGAGAGAGGGATGGGAGTTTTAGGATAGGGAGCAAGGGAAGCGAGGAAGGGAGGGCTTGAAGGGGAGGGCGTGCATGAATGAAGCCCAGCGCGCCCAGCACCATCTCCGCACATATTAACACGTTCTGGAGGACGGCCGCGTCCTCCGCGCTGCTGACGTAGCCCATCTGCGCCACTATGCACACCAGCACTCCCTGGGGAAGTGAAGGGAAAGGGCGAGAGAGAGGGGATGAGAGGGGCACACGCAGATGAGCACATTCTGGAGGTCGGCCGCGTCCTCCGCGCCCTCCGCGCTGCTCACGTAGCCCATCTGCGCCACTATGAAGACCAACACGCCCTGATAGAGTGAGGGGAGGGAGAGAGGAAGGGGAGGGAGAGAGGACGGGGAGCGAGAGAGGGGAGGAAGCTTTAGAGAGTTTGCCCCATTGCTGCCCCTGCTACCCACTGCAACCACCAGCACCCGACCCATCCTCACCCATTGCTGCCCCTGCTACCCACTGCAACCACCAGCACCCAACCCATCCTCACCCATTGCTGCCCCTGCTACCCACTGCAACCACCAGCACCCGACCCATCCTCACCCATTGCTGCCCCTGCTACCCACTGCAACCACCAGCACCCGACCCATCCTCACCTACCAGTAGGTCAGGAAGACCACCGCTTTGATCATCAGGAACTTGGGCACGGGGCTGAAGGAGCGAAGCAGCACACTGACTGCTACCGACTGCCACCTGCTTCTACCACCAGCAACCACACTGAACCCATTCTCACCTGCCAGTAGGTCAGGAACACCACGGCCTTGATCATCAGGAACTTGGGCACCGGGTTGAAGGAGCGAAGGAGCTCCCAGCACGCGACGTAGAAGAGAATAAGCGCATAGATGGCAACCGAATAGGAGGCCATGAAGATGCATGTGATGTAGATGTAGCCGTCTGAGAGGGCGCAGATGACCGCTGAGTCTGCTCTTGCTACCTACTGCTACCGCACTGCTACCTACTGCTACCGCACTGCTACCTACTGCTACCGCACTGCTACCTACTGCTACCTACTGCTACCGCACTGCTACCTACCACCAGCAACCACACCGGACCCATTCTCACCTGCCAGTAGGTGAGGAACACCACAGCCTACGGGATTAAAAGAGCGCAGCAGCTCACTGACTGCTACCGACTGCCACCTGCTTCTACCACCAGCAACCACACTGAACCCATCCTCACCTGCCAGTAGGTCAGGAACACCACAGCCTTGATCATCAGGAACTTGGGCACGGGGTTGAAAGAGCGAAGCAGCTCCCGGCACGCGACGTAGAAGAGAATGAGGGCGTAAATCGCCACAGAATAAGATGCCATGTAGATGCATGTGATGTAGATGTAGCCGTCTGAGAGGGCGAAGTTGCCATCCTCGTAGAGGCCGTAGTAGTAGAGGCACAGGCAGGTGGCCGCCAGGATGGGCTTTAAGTACACGAACTGCAGACAGCCCTGCTTGCACCTCCGGATGAAGCGGCTGTCATTGAAAGGTGGGTTGGGGAGGGGGAGAGAGGGGGGAGAGCGGGGAGAGGGGAGGGGTAGATGACAAGGAAGGCGAGAGGCTTCAAGTAGACGAACTGCAGACAGCCCTGCTTGCACCTTCGGATGAAGCGGCTGTTTGAGGGATGGGGAGAGGGTGGGGGTGGGGGGTGGGGAGTTGGAAGGAGGAATATGAGAGGGACAACAAGGCTGGGCTTGAAGTACACAAACTGCAACTTTTGAGGCGCCTCTAGAGATGCATGCGATGCATGCGATGCACGTAATGCATGTGATGCATGTGATATATAGATGTAGCTGTCTGTGAGTGCAAAGGTGTCATGCTCCTACATCTGCCATGCTCCTACATCTGCCATGCTCCTACATCTGCCATGCTCCTACATCTGCCATGCTCCTACATCTGCCATGCTCCTACATCTGCCATGCTCCTACATCTGCCATGCTCCTACATCATCTGCCTGCGAGGCTGGTTAGTACTGATCTGCTCTGCTCTGCCCCACCAGTCTCCATACTCATCACAACTCATTACCACTCATGAGCAGGTACGACGGCTTGAGCAGGTACGACGGCTTGAGCAGGTACGACGGCTTGAGCAGGTACGACGGCTTGAGCAGGTACGACGGCTTGAGCAGGTACGACGGCTTGAGCAGGTACGACGGCTTGAGCAGGTACGACGGCTTGAGCAGGTACGACGGCTTGAGCAGGTACGACGGCTTGAGCAGTCGCCCTGTGAGACTCATCACCACACAACACACTCCCTTGTTACGGACCTACCTCTCTCCAGTGCTCACCCTCTCATCAGCACTCACCCATCCAAGGGAATGGGCGGGAAGCAGCAGGTCAAGAGCAGGTAGGACGGCTTGAGCAGTCGCTCTGTGAGGTGACTTTTGGGTCGACTCAAAAGTCACCTCGTAGGACGGCTTGAGCAGTCGCTCCGTGAGACTCGTCAGTACTGCTGTGCGACTTTAACACCCCCCCCCATTCTTGGAACTTTGCAGCTCATCTGTCACAGTACTCATCATTACGCATCAGCACTCACCCGTCAAGGGGGATGGGCGGGAAGCAGCAGGTCATGAGCAGGTAGGAGGGTTTCAGCAGCCGCCCTGTTAGACTCGTCACCACGGCGCCTGGCCCGCCCACCCAGGAGAGGCAGAGCGAGAGGAAGTTGTAAATCACCCACGCCTCGTAGCTGTTTGGGGGAAACGGGGGGGAAACGGGGAGAGAGAGACGGGCGGGAGCGAACACCACAGAGCTTAGTCCCCCTACCCAGGAGAGGCAGAGCGAGAGGAAGTTGTGAATCACCCACGCCTCGTAGCTGTTGAAAAGGAGAGGGGGAGGAGGGGAGGGGAGGGAGAGTAGAGGGGGAGGGAGCGTGGGGAAGAGGCAGAGGGTGGGGAGATAGGTGGATAAAGGCCGTGACGTCACCTGGTTCGCCCACTCATGAGGGGCACAGCGAGATGAACCTGTGGATCACCCTCGCCTCGTAGCTGTTGAGAGTTTAGCCGGGGGAAACCTGAAAAAGAGGAGCTTAGACGGAGAGAAGGGGAAACCTGAAAAAGAGGAGCTTAGACGGAGAGAAGGGGAGAGTGGCAGAGGGAGAACGAGGTTAGACCGGGTCGGGGGAACGGGTAGGAGAGAGGGGGAGAGAGGTCAGGCGGGAAATAAGGATCCATCGTCGCCGAGGCGCCTGTCCCCCACACGGAGAAGACATTTGAGTTGACTCAAAAGTCGCAGGGGTAAGGGAGAGGGAGAGAGTGGTCCGGCGGGTTTTCAGGATCCATCGTCGCCGGGGCGCCTGTCCCCCTCCACGCAGGAGAGGCTGGAGAGGGTTCTGCGGAAGCCGCAACTCGGGTTGCGGTTTCCGCATTGTGTTGCCAAGGTTCCACGCGATTATCACCGCATCACGATACATAGAGCACGCGCAGTCCACGCAAAGACCCCCAATCACACAACATTAACAACACACGAGCACCATACTCACACGTCGCGTATCGTGTTGAAGTACATGGCGTAGTCGCTCATAACGAGAGCGCCGAATGACATTGTCGCGTACACCTGGCGCAAGGCAAAACAAACAATCCAGATATCAGCCTAAACGTCTGGCAATTCCCGAATGTCCAGAGATTCGAAATATCCGGGGTAGTTAAATATTGCTAGGATGAAAACCCCGGGGAGGTCAACGGGGGTTAGCTTATATGTCAATGAGATGACCTGGACACGTTCAGTTCGGACCAACCAAAGCGCGAGCGTACGTACGGGGACCATGAAGATGATCCGGACGATGTAACGCTGGTACGTGGGCTCGGTGTAGTTACGGAGGTGCATGACGATGTGGCGTACGGAGAGAAACACGGCGAACACCGTGCATACTAGCGACACCACCACCGCGGGGGTGCCAGAAAACGCGTGCTCCGGAGGCGGCGACGGCACCCACGCGCTAAAGTCGATTCCGAACATCGTGGAGCGTGAAGATTAGAGTGACGTAAGTGACGTGGTTTTTGTGGCTGGATTAGGGACAACGGGACAAGGGATCACGAGTCCATTTGAGTTTATGCCGTCCGGCACTAGATTCGACGTGGTTAGGTGATAAATGCCCTCGTTTAGGAACTAGGTCCGGTGGTACGTAGATTGGATTACAACGTAACTTCAACCACGGAGCAATGGCTGCGGAACGTTGTCAACCCATTCCGAGCGGGCCGCGCAATTAGCAGCTTATAGCAGAAACGATCGGCGGTGTGACAGCCCTAGCTTCGGAAACGCGGTCTGAAAGAGTAGGCCAGACCAATCTAGAGGGCAGGATACAAAAACCGCGGCACTAAACGAACGGCAAGAGAAGAGCGGCAAGATACAAAACGAACTACCGTTAGAGGAGAGCGTTGCAGCGACTGCCAAAGATCGGAAACCAACGACAAAAATCTCCTAAGAACTGTACTGTAATCTAGGAACCAGTAGCACTAGCGACGGGCTACGACTGGGATCCACCAAAAATGGCGGGCTGGGGCGGGGAGGGGAGAAAGTTGGGGAGGAGGCTCTGATGCTTTCGCGACGTCCGGTTACCGCATGGAAAATGCGTCGTCTCGCTCTAGCGAAATCCAGTTCCGAAATCTCATCTCAAGGTGAACGGCTGTGAGGTGCCAGAGTTTTGGCGGGAAAATACCACGTGGGTACCGCTTTGTGACAGAAGCGAGTGCGTCAGTAAGACATCACAAAAACATTTCAACAGAAAAGCGACACGTAGGCGTGCTTCCAGTATGTTCATATAGAAATTCACACAAACCAACATGCAATTAGTCTTTCCGAACAAAATGACGGACCAGCTTTTGTCGAGGTTTATGAGCCTAGGGCGTGGAACTCGGGTCAGGCTCGAACTTGATCTGAAACCCACAACACTACCATGTGTGTCGAGAAAATACTCTTTGCCTGTGACGATGTCCGCAGTAGCATCCAGCTGTGTTTTCTGTCAAGGTACACTTCACGGTACACGCCCTTCACGAAACTGAGGTCAACTGCGCAATAGTTGTGTTTTCCCCGTGATCATGCTTCGGCAGCATTACTAATAGAAGGCATTGTGATCGATTTAGCATTCTACGTCAGGTCGAGCCTGAAACAATCTGAGGTCCCTGGGTCGGATCGGATCGGTACCCGGCCAGTTGATAACCACGAATCGGGTCTCGCATTGCATTGAAAGACTTGTTTTTCGTCTGCTGGTTCTGGGTCGCAATGGTGGAGCAAGCGACGGTTGCCCGTCGCATCACGCACGTCATTTTCGACATGGACGGCCTCATTCTCGGTGCGTTGAATCGTGTTGGTGTGTTGACGCGTAGCAGCGGATCATAACGGTTCCCAACGGCTCATACAGGCTCATACCATGAGCCTCGAGTCGCATCACACACGTCATCTTCCATATGGACGGCCTCATTCTCGGTGCGTTAAAGCCCAGCCCGTAACGGCTCATAGCATGGGCCTCGAGGCAGCTTACAACGGGGTTACATGGACTCCTCTTTCTCGGCTCTGAGGAATCCTGTCCCCTGGCCCCACAATCTCGTCTTCCAGACACGGAGGGTCTGTTGACTTTTGAGTCGACTGAAAAGTCAACTCATTTTGAGTCGACTCAAAAGTCAACTCGGCTCTGAGGATTCCTGTCCCCTGTCCCCACAATCTCGTCTTCCAGACACCGAGGGTTTGTACGCGGCATCCCAGCAGCGCAATTGCCCTTCTTGTCCCCCCTCTCCCCCCATCACTCCCCTTCTCCCCCACCACCCCCTCCCCTCTTCCGCCAGACACCGAGGGTCTGTACACGGTGGCTCAGCAGCGCATTCTGTCGCGATTCAACCGCGAGTTCACGTGGGCGCTCAAGGTCAAGATGATGGGCAAGACGGCCGCAGAGGCGCCTCCTATCCCCCCTTGATCCAACCACGCTGCCAAACTCGCTCTCCTCTACTCCCCCTTGGCCCCCCTCTCCCCCCTCTCCCCCTGCCCCACTGCCCCCCTGCCCCCTTCCCCTTCTCCCTGTCCCCCTGTCTCCCTGTCCCCCTATCTCTTCCGCCAGACACCGAGGGTCTGTACACGGTGGCTCAGCAGCGCATTCTGTCGCGATTCAAGCGCGAGTTCACGTGGGCGCTCAAGGTCAAGATGATGGGCAAGAAGGCCGCAGAGGCAGCAAAGGTGGTGATAGAGGAGCTGGGGCTGCAGGGGGAGATTAGCGCGGAGGAGTTTCTAAAGGAGAGAGAGGCGCTGCTGAGGGAGGAGTTCCCACACTGCAAGCTATTACCAGGTGCGGAGAGTGGTTGAGAGTGGTTGAGAGCGGCTGAGCGGATTTGGAGCGGTTGAGAGTGGCAGAGGCGGCACAGGTGGTGATAGAGGAGCTGGGGTTGCAGGGGGAGATGAGCGCGGAGGAGTTTCTGAGGGAGAGAGAGAATCTTCTGAGGGAGGAGTTCCCCCACTGCAAGTTGTTACCAGGTAAGGGAGTACGGTTTAAAGCGGTTTGCAGCGGTTGAGAGCAGTTAGGTGGCGTGTGGTGATACAGGAGCTGGGGCTGTAGGGGGAGATTAGCGCGGAGGAGTTTCTGAGGGAGAGGGAGAATCTATTGAGGGAGGAGTTCCCCCACTGCAAGCTGCTGCCAGGTAGGCAGTGCGGTTGAGAGTGGTTGAGCCCGGTTGCGTGCGGTGGAGACCGGTTGAAAGTGATGGAGGCAGCGCAGGTGGTGATAGAGGAGCTGGGGCTGCAGGAGGGGGTGAGCGCAGAGGAGTTTCTGAGGGAGAGGGAGACGCTGCTGAGGGAAGAGTTTCCCCACTGCAAGCTGCTTCCAGGTAGGGGGAAGCGGTTGAGAGCAGTCAAAAGTGGTTGAGAGTGGTGAACGTGACAGAGGCGGCTCACGAGGTGATTGACAAGCAGGGTCTGCATGGGGAGATGAGTCGTTGCCATACCTTGTCCTTACCTCGTCTTAGAGTCTCAGCGTATCACCCCTTCCCTCCCAATCCTGTTGCTTCCCTCAACTTCCTTAACCCGCTCTTATCTCTTCCTCAATTCTCCCTCATCTCATCCCCCCCATCTCGCAATTAGGAGCGGAACGCTTGATTTGGCATCCGGTATCAACATTCCCATGGCCATCAAACCCCATCCCACAACATTCCCATGGCCATCAAACCCCATCCCACAACATTCCCATGGCCATCAAACCCCATCCCACAACATTCCCATGGCCATCAAACCCCATCCCACAACATTCCCATGGCCATCAAACCCCATCCCACAACATTCCCATGGCCATCAAACCCCATCCCACAACATTCCCATGGCCATCAAACCCCATCCCACAACATTCCCATGGCCATCAAACCCCATCACACAACATTCCCATGGCCATCAAACCCCATCCCACAACATTCCCATGGCCATCAAACCCCATCCCACAACATTCCCATGGCCATCAAACCCCATCCCACAACATTCCCATGGCCATCAAACCCCATCCCACAACATTCCCATGGCCATCAAACCCCATCCCACAACATTCCCATGGCCATCAAACCCCATCCCACAACATTCCCATGGCCATCAAACCCCATCCCACAACATTCCCATGGCCATCAAACCCCATCCCCCAACATTTCAAACCCCAATCTCCCAACCCCCCTCTCCGTCGTCTCTGCCTGTTCTCAGGAGCGGAGCGCTTGATTTGGCATCTACACGCGCACAACATTCCCATGGCCATTGGCACTGGGTGAGTGAGTGAGTGAGTGATTGAGTGAGTGAGTGAGTGAGTGAGTGAGTGAGGTGAGTGAGTGAGTGAGTGAGGTGAGTGAGTGAGTGGGTGGGTGAGTAAGTCGTCTCATAAGACCTACTTCGGCCTCTAGAAATGTAACCACCACACCACACAGCCCTGCTCGCCCTCATGCGCCACTGTGTTGTCTGAGACCACCCTCAGGTCGTCCTCGTCTCACGAGGTGACTCTTGAGTCGACTCAAAAGTCACCTAGTCTGCTCGCCCTCATGCGCCACTGTGTTGTCTGAGACTACCCTCAGGAAGGTTGTCCTCGTCTTACTTTTCCCCTTATCTCCCCCCTCCTCTTCCCTCTTGCCGCTGTCCACACCCACCACCAGCTCCCACAAGATCTATTCGGCCTCAAGGCAACCAACCATGGAGAGCTGTTTTCCCTCATGCACCACTGTGTGCTTGCTGGGGGGTGATTCCGAGGTTGTGCGCGTGTGTCTCTTCTCCCCCTCTTTCCCACCACTCTCCCACCATCAGCTCCCTCAAGATCTATTCGCCCTCGAGACGACCAACCGTGGAGAGCTATTTTTCCTCCTGCACGACTGTGTGCTTGCTGGGGGATGATCCCGAGGTTGTGCGCGTGTGTCTCTTCTCCCCCTCTTTCCCACCACTCTCCCAATCACCAGCTCCCCCAAGATCGATTCGGCCTCAAGACGACCAACCGTGGAGAGCTATTCTCCCTCATGCGCCACTGTATGCTCGGTGACGATCCCGGGATTGTCCGCGTGTCAAACCCCCCTCTCCCCTACCACCAGCTCCCACAAGATCCACTTTGGACTCAAGACGGCCAACCACACGGCCCTCTTCTCTCTCATGCGTCACTCTGTGCTCGGGGATGATCCCGAGGTTCCCAAATGTCTCTTCTCCCCCTCGTTCCCGCCCCTCCCCCTCCTGCTCCTGCTGCTGCTGCTGCTGCTTCTGCTGCTGCTGCTGCTGCCACGCACCACCAGCTCTCACAAGATTCACTTTGGGCTGAAAACATTCAACCACACAGCTCTCTTCTCTCTCATGCGGCACTCTGTGCTCGGGGATGATCCCGAGGTGCTCTCCGTGTCTCCCTCCCCTCCTTACTTTGTAACCTCCTGCCACTGTCACCTCCCTATCACCAGCTCCCACAAGATCCACTTTGGACTCAAGACGGCCAACCACACGGCCCTCTTCTCTCTCATGCGTCACTCTGTGCTCGGAGATGATCCCGAGGTTGTCAATGGCAAGCCCGCTCCGGACGTCTTCAGAGTGGCAGCTGCAAGATTCGATGTGAGTACTTCCGCTGTGATCGAGAGTGAAAAATAACAAAACAAAACAAATCAATACAAACAAACAAACAAACGAAGGTATGTTCTATTTTTGTTAAAATTATAATAATATAGTGGTTCTGCATATCTGGAGAGTGGTTGAGTCACGATAAAGTCTCTGATGCAGGTGCACAGTCTGGCTGGCCTGCTCTGCAATGTCTCGAAACTGCACGTGCATTTCCGGAGGGTGAATGATCACAAACTGAAAATCTCCAATGCAAAACCACAATCTGTCCGGTCGGATGCCTCTCATGAAGTCCACATTTGACCTCAAAGATAGTGTCTAACCACTCGGATTGGAGAACATTATGTCTCCAAGTTCCTTCCTCTTCTCAAACGCTCCTTAGCTCCCTCCCTCCCTCGCACCCATACTCCCTCACAGTCGCCAGACAATGTCGCGGTGTTTGAAGATGCTCCAATGGTGCTGCTGCTGCTGACTAACCCTTTCTACCCCTCTCTATCCCTGTCTAAACTGTCTACCGCACTGTGTTCTTCCATTAGCCCCCACCGTCACCAGACAACGTGCTTGTATTTGAGGATGCTCCACTGGGCGTTGATGCTGCCAGGAATGCTGGAATGTGAGTGTACCTGAACCTGTACCCAGTATCACGTACTGTACACTGTATATGCATGTTTTTTACCCTTATGTTTTTACAACTGTCTGAAATGAAAAAAAAACGATTCCTGCTTGTTTTTTTTCCTCCTCACTTCGTTCTTTTTCTCCTGTTTATAGGTGGGTGGTGATGGTGCCAGATCCAAATGTCGATGCTGCTCTCTGCACTAACGCTTCACTCGTTCTTCCATCATTGTTGAACTTCGATCCTGTCCCATGGGGCTTGCCTCCATTTCCAGCAGAAGTGTCTGAAACCTAAGAAATAAATAACATTATATGTTGTAGACGTTTTCTTATATTGCAAGTATTTTCCTCAGTCCACTTATGCTTTAAATGCGCCCATTTGTCCGGCTTCGGGTATTTAGAAGGAACCAAATGCGGTTGTGGTAATACCGTAGCTATACTGATCACCTTCTTAAAACTGATGCAAAATAGTGAACCCAAACCCAACTTGAAAGGGCGCAGGGACGAGTTTGCCAGGCGAAACAAAGTTTAGACGGACTGAGAAGTTTGTACCGTTTCAAACGCTGCGGACGTGCAAATCGAACACCTTTGATTGGTTCCCGCCAAAATTGAGACATTTTCCTGATCTGTGACGTCGCACTTCTCATTGCTAAGCTTGCACGACAATTGCACAGGCGATCGTTTCAGTCTGTCCAAGCGATTTGGGCCCAACTGATGTTTCAAGTTGGGATGGGGTGAACTACTACCAATTTTGCGTCGGAAGTTCTAAGTAGCTAGGCTAGGCATAGGCTATGTCTCAACTTAGGCCCTCGTTATCTACACATGTATTAATCAGAATGTCCGTCGTGTTGTCAGAACTTATATTTGTAACTGCCTGTAGCTGTAGTTAGTGTAGTTATTATAAACTTAGTTCGGTGGTGCACCTTCTTTGTTTCCTATGCTATATGTTCCTTGAAAACTATAGTGAAATCATTCTTCCCAATTCTCTCGATCCTCACCTTTGGCACAAAACTACCCGATATCCTAGTTGGGCCTAGGCTCCTAAGCCTAGGCCCTAGTAAAACTTAGTTCATTCTCGCTCATCTCGATATGCTATCAGAGCAAGTTACGTCCTGGCCTGTGCGCCCGCCTCATGCTTCCGCTGCTACGTTTTTCCGGTCGCGCGCCTAGGGCGCGTGGCGATTTTCTCTTGTCCCGCCCCCGGTTGGCGTGTGACTCTTTCTCTGCCCGTCGCGCGCCCCGTGGCACGCGACGGTGCCCTAAACCTGCCCGTCGTGCGCCCCGTGGCACGCGACGGTGCCTTGCTCGTCGTGCGCCCCGAGGCACACGACCGGGCCCTAAACTTAAACTTACCCGTCGTGCGCCCCGTGGCACGCGACGGGCCTCTCCGCACCTGCTATCCCTACAGCCGCCCCTGACCTATCTGCGCCGACACAATTTAGCCGCTCTGCGGCTTTCTTCCCGCCCACCCCCTCCCCCTTTGTCTCCCTGCAGCCGTGGGGAGGAGGGTATGGGGGTGGCGGGTGTTGGAGTGTTGGGTCTTCTCCTTCCCTTCCCCTCCTCCTCCTTTCGTTCCCACTGCTGCAGCTGCCGCTGGGGGGGAGGGTGTGAGGGTGTGGGGGAGCAGGGGGAGTGGCACCGGGGTGGCGGGTGTGAGGCAACCAGCAGCCGTCCCTCCACCTCTCCTCTCTTCCGAAAGCTATGAGTGTAAGCTTTTCAGTCTGTCCCTTTGCGCCCGCGTTTTTCCGTCCCGTCGCCCACACGATCTCCTCTCACCTCCCTTACCCACGCGATTGTCGCCGCCCTTCTGTGGCTCGTCCCGCTACCTTCTCATCGCCCATCCCATCGTCCATCCCGTCGCCCATACCATCGCCCATCTCGTCGCCCATCCCGTCGCCCATCCCGTCGTCAATCCCGTCGCCCTTCCCGTCGCCCATCCCGTCGCCCCTCCCTCCGCCCTTCCTATCTCCCCTCGCCTATCCTCTCCCCCGTCGCCCTTTCTCTCCCTCGTCGCCCTTTCTCTCACTCGTCGCCCTTTCTCTCTCCCGTCGCCCTTTCTCTGTCACGTCTGTTGGGCTGAAAAAGCCCTTAGGATCTTTGCAGAGGTGAATTCTGGGTAGAGTTGATGTAGTAGCGGAAGCGTCTTAATAAAGAGTTTGTGAACCACCTTGCGCTAGTATGTGAGGGCAAAGTGAATTGATTAAAGCAAAGAGATACAAGATTATATATGAATACAGAGAATATGAAGAGACACAGTTATAACTACTTTACTGTTGCTGTTGCGGTTCGATACAGTGACGACTCGGGCAACTGCTCTGTAAAGAGTCAGTTGTGTGTCCTTGCTGTCGCGCTGCATTTGTCAGGTCAAAGGTCGCTGACCTTTGACTTTCGAGTAACCTCCAGCGGTTACTTCAACCTCCGAGGGTTGACTTGCTGGTGCCTTGATATGCTCTGCTTCGCTTGTGCCTTTCTGTTTCGACACGACAGAGGCGCTTAGGAACTATTGTTTCCAACACTCCCCTTCGCTTCTGGAGTGTCGCTGACGTGGCTCTGTCCAGTCAGCAGCATCCAATATTCGAACTTCTGCTTTCCGAGCTTCTTGGTCAGGTAATCAGCTGCCATCTCGGACGTAGGGCAGTATGACAGTTCAAGCCTTCCTTTCTCGATCTCGTCCTTCACGAAGAAGTATCGTAGGGCGATGTGTTTCGTCTTGTTCGCGAAGCCGTTCTTTTTGGCAATGCGAATTGCCGACTGGTTGTCGCAGAACAGGCTGAAGTTGTGTAACTCGGCTAACTTCGCTTCTTCCAGCAGCTCGCGAAGATAGAGTCCTTCCTTGGTGGCTGAGCAGAGTGCAATATATTCTGCTTCAGCTGACGAGAGAGCAATTAGTTCTTGTTTGCTCGATTGCCAGGAGATAGGCCCGATAGGCTCGAGACGGTAGATGTAGCCGGTGCGTGATCGCCTGTTGTCGGAGTCGCATGCGTGGTCTGCGTCGACGTAGCCGATTAGCTTAGGCGTTGTAGTTGCGTTCTTATGATAAGTCAGTCCGACCGTCGGGGTACTAACAAGGTAGTGAAGAGCGCGGTCGAGCTCCGCCAGATGTTCCGCTTCAGGCCTCTTGAGGTAGGTGGCGAGCTGGCTTGCAGAGTAGGATAGATATGGGCGGCAGGTGACAGCTGCGAAGAGAAGGCAGCCCAGCTTTCTCTGGTAGTCGCGGATGCCGGCGGGCTTGAGTAGAGCGGAGCCTTCCTTGTTGTTTACTGTCGTGTAGCGGTACGGTGGAGAGATAGCTCTTGGTGTGAGTGCGAAATGCTTGGCGATGGTGTCGGCGTATTTCGTGGCGCTGAGGTAGATAGCGTCTTCTTCTTCTCGGATGTTGAGGCCGAGGTACTGTGTGACGGTAGGTGAGACTGTGAGTGTGAGGTCTTGTTGTAACTCCCCTTCGAACCAGGTTGTAATACCTTCGGTTGAGCCAATGTAGTGTAGGTCGTCTACGTAGACGATTAGCAGGACGTAGTCGGTACCCTTCGAGAGCCGGTACATGCTCTGGTCGTGCGGTAGTTGCTTGAAGCCGATGCGAATGAGGCGAGCGTGTAGGTATTGTTGCCATAGTCGCGGGGCTTGCTTGATGCCGTAGAGTGACTTGAGTAGTTGAGAGGCGTATTTCGAGTCCGTGCTGGAGCCGTGTGGTAGCTCGACGAAGATCTCGGCGTCGACGGGTGCGTAGAGGAATGCATTGGCGACGTTGATTTGCCTTAGCTTCTTCTTCTTCATGGCGGCGATCGCGAGAAGGATGCGTAGCGAGGTGTGTCGGCTGACTGGAGCGAATGTTTCGGTGTAGTCGCGGCCGTGCTCTTGGTCGAAGCCACGAACGACCCAGCGTGCTTTGAATTTGTCGATGGTGCCATCGGCCTTTGTCTTCACACGGAAGACCCATTTTCCGGTGAGTACTGTCTTGTTCCGTGCCACACCGATAGGAACCACCTTCCACGTGTTGCGTTCCTCCAGTGCCTTTAGCTCCTTGTCCATGGCTTCGCGCCATTTTTCTTTATGTTCCCCCCCCAGAGCGTGCTGAACCGTCGCAGGCTCTTTAGGAGCGACGGAGCCGTGGACTGCGGTGACGAGCCCGAGGATCTGCAGTCCACTCTGTGAGTAGCGGGGAAGATTTACATCCTCGGGATAAGCTGCTTCGTCTCCCGAATCTGGATCAGGTATGAAATTTGGTCCTACCCGTTCTACTTCGTTGGTGTTAACTGTCGCAGGTGTTACGTAACCGTTGTCGGCGAAGTGGTAGAAGGTTTCGGCGTTGGCACTTTCGCGAGGGTTGTCTTCGTCCATGGGAACGTCGACGGAGCAGAACGGAAGAGGTCCGGCTTCTTCTGATGCGTTGTCCACATTCTGCTCGTCCCAGTCTGCTTCGTCCGCTGCTGAGGCAAAGGCTCGGTCACCACGAAGGCCACCTGTGGGGTCTTTGTCTTCTTGCAAGTTGGCAAGGTACGTCTGGAGCGTGAGTTGTTCATAAAAAATTACGTCACGTGCTGCTACTGTTCCCTTTGAGTGGACGTCGAAGATTTTCCACGCGTTGTAGTTCTTTTCGATGCCCAGGTGTAGTCCCCACTGTGCTCGTTGAGAAAATCGGCCCGCTCGTGCTGCAGGGGGTCGGTACTGTACCATGCACCCAAAAACTCGTAACATTTTTGTGTTGCCCTGTTTCCCTGTCCATAGCAGATGCGGTGATGCGTTGTTCGGAAGCGATGACGACGACAGCAAATTGTGCAGCATGACAGCGTGGTCCATTGCTGCAGGCCATTGGTGGTTGGGTAGCCACATGCCACGCAGCCGTTTGCGCATGGTGATCTGCAGGGTCCTGTTCATTCTCTCTGCTACTCGTTGCTGCTGATGGACGTAGGGAAGGGAGATGAGCTGCTTGATTCCCCTTTCCGCCAGGTACTGCTTGAACCGCTGAGAGGTGTATTCTCCTCCTCCGTCTGACTGGAAGCTTTTC